TCCCTGGTTCTGGAGTTATTCATTTTCCCGCCAAAAATTTTCACGGGGCCGCACGTGGCAACCACGAATGACGGGAGGGGGGGGGGTTGAATTTGATAAATTGAAGTTGTATATGAGTTGGGAACATTTCCTGAAACTTTCAGCCCCCCAGCTTTCTTGGCTCCCGAGCTAGCGATTTTCGCGCCAGGAACCCTCAGGGGGCCGTACGCGGGAACCACAAACCCCCGAGGGCCGAATTTGAAATCTTTGACTTCTACTTGGACTGGAAACATAATCCTAAAATTTCAGCTTTCTAGCTTTTCTGGTCCTCGGGTTCGCGATTTTCCCGCCAAAATTTTGAGGCGCTCGTATGCGCGGTCTAGACGTGTTTGAGTGTTGGTACCGCGGCCCTGAGGTGGCACTTGGCCGGGGAACCCACTCGCAAAATTTTGGCGCCGGAGCTTGCTTGTGTGCCGAGTTGAAATACCAGGACAGACGCACACACGCACACAACACACACACACACACACACACATACACACACACACCCGGGTCGTCACAATATGTGTTTTTGCATATTATGCAAAAACGCATAAAAATGGCTGAATAATAACAATAAACAGAACAAACTGTTTACATTAATCAAATTAGTTTCCTCTCTGCCACCCCTGCCTCATCGATTACCTCGGCCTGCCCAAAATGCGTGCAACAAATGCTCCGTATGAGTTCATGAGCAGTACACGCTCGTAAACTTCGTTTTGTAGAATTTTCTAGTACATCAGGGATTAGTTGCCGAGTGCATTTGAAAAATATAACCTAAAAAAACCAGAAAAAGAAAATGAAAAATTCGAAAACATTATCCGATGTCAGAGACATGCTGTGAGGATGAACCACAGTGAACTAATAGTTCAGGGGAACCACAGAATGAATTCTTGGATAAAATGAAAACTTTAGCTGATAGCGCAGTGTCTGCGAAAAGCAGTATTACATAAAAGACATCATAGAGCCACCTTATCTACACTCAGTAGTTGCTGAAGTTGTCTGGCTGGAGAAACGCATGTAGCTGAGTCGATTCTGAAAAGTTAGATTTACAGCGGAAATGTCAAGTTTACCGTTTACGAAGTGCCACTTTGGGTGTGTTGGAATATCTTTTGTGCGGATGGGAGTCCACAACCGACAACCCATGATGTGAACAGTTCACAGATAAGGTAGTTTCATGAGCCTGCCACATGCTAAAGTCTCAGCGGAGAAATACCGTCATGAAGATATTTCAAAAATGACGTGACGCGCTGCTTCATTTCGATGCGGCTGAGAAATTAGACATTGTAATCCCAACAAAATGTAACGCTGCTTATCAGACTGTAAATGATATAACACGCTGCTTCAGAAGAAGCCCTAGCGCATCAAAAGATATGCATGATATAACAAACAAAAATGCGTGTTACTTTCATACGCAGCTGAAACAAAATGAAAATAACTGAACGGAATGAATTCAAATAGCATGCTGATGCGCAGTGATGCGAATTTTTGACTTCTCCAACTGCTTGATCATGCTCTTCACGACACCTAGATTCGGATCCAAGCCACCGTTGTCTAGTTCTGCGCACTGCTCAATCGTTAACGGAGTACGTTGTCTGAAATTGAGATGGTAAGAAGACTTGGAGAGTCAAATGAATCAAAGTCAAATGATGTAAACTGCGATGCGCACTAGAAAGGAGATTACACATTTTTATAACAAGCTGCTAGGGGTTTACAAAGGATGGATACTACAAAGTATGTGAGAGCTGGGTACGTTTTGCCACCCTGAAATTAAAAAATAATGATCAGGAGAGGCCAGGATATCTGTATTTTGAAGGTTGATTTCACAAGAGTTAACTTGCATCGCACGGTAGTCTGAGCCTCAAAAATCTGAAAAAAATGTGCGTTTTTCTTCCCAAAAAATTGTGTGTTCTTGCGTATATGCAACCCAAGCTGGAACGCACCGGACGGGCCCGTGCGATCATGTGTTTTTGCACCGGACTTGAAGTGCTCAGGTCATTAACTGCATGAATGGTTGTTGCTTGGCTCTTACCTTTTGCGATCATTAGCACAAATCACCGTAAATTTTGCATAAGTAGCTGTATATTTTCCACTTAACGATCGTTCTTTAAAAGTGACCTATTTGCTCAGTCAGACAATTAGCCA